ATAAATCTCCAAGTTATAAAGGTCAATGTAAAGATTCAAAGCTATGATGTACAGATGAAGGAGAACATGGGACCTTTCTCCTTCTTGGTCTGGGGTACCTCATTCAGAATATTTTTCTCCAATTCCATCTATTCCCTTTAAAGTCCATAATTTCATTTTTCTTTACAGGTGAGTGAAATTCAATGGAGTATATTTATTACATTTTCACAAACCATTCATCAGTTGATGAGCATCTAGACTAATTCTATTCTCTAATTTTTGAGGATAGAGCAGCACTGAACATTGTTGTGCACATACTCTGTAGAAGAATATGGCTCCTTTTGGGTATATACACAAGAGTAGTGATCTAGGTCATAAGATAGTTCTATGTCTAGCTTTTTGAGAAAACCCCAGGTTGATTACAAAGTGGCCACAATAATTTACTTTCCCACTGTTAGAGTATCAAAATGCCCCATTAGATTAACTGGTAAAAAATACCTCTAATTCATCTGTCAGAGGAGCCACCTTTCCAGTTTCACCATCACCTGGTCAGAGGATTACTTCTAGGAAGGTGGATTCACTTTAAGTTATGCTAAATAGATAGGGAGAATACCTAGTGCATTAAGGAGATGGTGATCTTTTCTTGCTCACAATCCACATTTCCCAGTGAAGTTCTTGTGGGTCTGGGTGGCAGACATGTGGCTTTCTATAATAAACCCTACCTGCCTCAGGAGAACATAATCTCTCCCCTTTTCTTCTACAGATTCCTTCCTTAAGCATGGTTACTCTAATGCTTTACTGTTCTAGCTCTTGTATTTCTTTAATTTTTATCTAAAGATTTGTTCTACCCATTTGTGGTTGTTGTGACTGCCATATATACAGGCTCTAAACCTCATGGCTTCATGGGCTTTTTTCTTCTGCCCTCCATTCTCCTCTTCCAGGCAGTTGCCAGGATTGTTAGCTTGCCTACCCTGAGGATTTTTCTTTTAATTATAATAAAATTGTCTTAAAGCTTTCATTTGAGTCCATTCTTAAATCATTTTATAAATCAGAGTAAAATTCTTTAGAGGATGCTGTTTCTC